ATCAGTGGAACAGATTAGAAGATGCAGACACAACTACAAACATATTCAGCCACCTTATCTTTGATAAAGGGCCCAAACAGGTTCACTAGAAGAAAGACAGCCTCTTTAATAAATGGTGTTGGAAAAACTGGCTTTTTACATGCTGAAGGCTAAAATTAGACCCATCCCTATCACCATGCAAAAAGCTACAATCAAAATGAATCAAAGATTTAAATTTTAAAACAGAAACACTAAATCTTCTGGAGGAAAATTTGGGTAGAAATCTTAAAGACATAGGGGTAGGTAGAGAGTTTATGAACATAACCAAACTGCATGGGAAATACTTCAAAGAATCAACAACTGAAATCTCATCTTTTTGAAGTTTCTGCACTTTAAAGCAAATCTCCAACACAATAAAAAAAGAAAACCAACAAACTGGGAAAAAATATATAGCTGACTATCTCTGAGATAAAGACTTTCTATCTAGAAAATACAAAGAATTAAAAAAAATAAGGCTCCCTAATTCAAAGACCCAATCCAAAAATGGGTATCTGAGATAAATATGTGCTTCTCAGAGAAGAAATACAAATGGCAAGCAAATATTCAACATCATAGGTCATTGGAGAAATGCAAATTAAAACAACAGTGAGATTCCATCTTACCCCAAAAAGAAGTTAGCCAATAACAAATGCTGGAGAAGCTGTGGAGAAAAAGAAACCTTTTTCCACTGTTGGTGAGAGTGCAGACTGGTACAACCACTATGGAAATCAGTGTGGAGACTCCTTCAAAAGTTAGGATTGGAGATTTCATTTAAGCCAATTTTTTCCCTCCTGGGTATTTTTCCATAAGAAATGAAAACTTCATACCACAGCCATATATGTGCACCCATGTTTATAGCAGTGCAATTTGTTATAGCTAAATCCTGGAAACAACCCAGATGCCCATCTACTTAACTTTGTTAAGTGAAAATCTGTATCACTTGTAATTTTTTTGTTTTACTTTTAATTTGTACTCTCTTATTTAAAAAGTTGTAGAATTTAAAGCCCATTATAACAAACTCATGGAAAGATCTATTGCTAAGAGTCACTGCCTGGTGCTGCTTTCACTTTTCCTTTCTGAACACCTCTCATGGTTGTCCCATCTCTGTGCTTCTTTGTGTATCTTAGCAGAGAATGGATTAATCTGTCACTATCAGTTTTTAGACCTACCGACAAAGAGGAACCACATGAAAACTTAAGCAGTGAACTCCACACTCTGACCAGTTTGGACTCTTGTTTTTAGGGAAGGAAGCACTTGTGTGAAGTGGAAGGGGGCAGGGAGAGCAAAACAGAAGGCAGCCACTGTAATATCCCCTGGGATCACTCCTTTCTTTTTGGCAGATGGGAAGATTACTTGTCCTTGTTCCCTTTCAGTAAGGTGAACCACAGACTGTACTGAACTGTTTAATGGCTGCCAAGAGACCCTCTTGTATTTTTCCTGCTATGGCAATCTTTCTTATCTAGAAAATGGGTAAGGTATACTTCTGAGTATATCGGTGAGGGTGTTTTCAGAGATTTGTGTATGGGTCAGCAAAGGGAGTGGGAAAATCCTTCCTGTATGTGGGTAGCACCATCAAAAGGCTGGTGGACTAAAGGTACCAACATGTGGAAGAAGGGGGAGCATGCTGGTCTGCACACTGCATTCTTCTTTGGCAGGTGTACTCTTTGCTGATGTTGTCACGTAAAGCTATCAGACTCCAGATTCTTCAGCCCTTGAACTCAGACTTGCACCAGCAACTCCTTGGGAGGCTTTCCAGTCCTTGACCTCAAGCTTTCAGGCTTCTGGGGGCCAAATTACACACACACACACACACACACACACACACACACACGCACGCACACACACACACACACACACATTTTCAGGCTTCTTGGACTAGAAGCTTAGTTTTCATGGCTCTACAGCCTGCAGACAGCCACTGTGGGAAGATTTAGCCTCTGCTCCAGTAGTCCAATCTAATAAATCACCTTTCATGATGTTGTATATTCTATTGGTTCTATTTCTTTGGAGAACTCTGACTAAAGTACAGAACAAAGAACACTTGGGTTGGGATATTGGTGTTCAATTTCTTTCTTTCTCTTATTTTTTATTTTTTGCTACTGGGAATTCAACTCAGGACCTTGCACTTACCTGGCATGCACTTAAACTGCTGAGCTATCTCCTCAGCCATGATGTTAAATCTCAAAGTAGTATGGAAGACAGGTGCCCAAAAGAATATGTTTAGAAGTGAAAAATAAATGTCTTGCATTAAGCCATCAATATTGGGGATAATGCTACACAACATAGACTAATCTGTCTAATACAGAACACATCCTTGAGGTTGTGACCTTTAAAATGAAGCTTAAAGAATGAGACCAAAAAAAAAAAAAAATAGAAGGAGGAGGAGCAGGAGAAGGAAGAGGAAGAGAGGGAGAAGGAGGAGAGGGATGAGGGGGAGGAAGAGGAGGAGGAGGAGGAGACAGAGATACTAGAGAGAACATTCCAGGATATGGAAGCTTCATATGCAAGGAATTTGAAGCAAGAAAAGACATGTTTGTAGGCGCATATATCATAGAAATAGAAAGTAGAATCATGATTACCTGAGGCATAATTGGTTAGAGAGGAAGGGGAACAGAGAGAAGTTGATCAAAAGATATGCAATTACAGTTGGATAGGAGGATTTTTTCTGAAGTGTCCAGAATAGATAGCATCTGGATAAATAAGGTGAATAAGTCCTTCTTAAGAGCCTGGGGAGAAGAGAATGAGTTGGAGTGGAAGAGCCAAGGGAACAACTAGTGTGCCAGTCTGTCTTAATTGCCAACTTGATTGGACCACAAAACTCCTGGAGAGGTGATTGCATGGATCATGGGGCACTATATTCATGAGTGGATTAATGTCCTGATATATATAGCTGAATGTGTTGTACAAGGTAGGGCCCACTTGGGTATAGATCCCTGGGTGTGTACTTTCGAGGAGTACATTTCTAGCTGCTCTTCCCTTGAGCTGTGCTTCCTGCTTTCTGGATGCCATGAAATAAGAAGCTTTGCTTCACTATGCCTTTCTGCCATGATGTTTCTGTGGTGGAGCGAGCTGACCATGGGCTGGATCCTCTGAAACCTTGAACCTTGCTAAACCTGTCTCCTTTAAGTTGTAAGTGATGGATGCTGTATTCCAGGAATGGGAAGGCTGATGAATGCAACTGGTAATTGTTATGAAATTTCTTTTATACATGACAAAATGTTCTAAAATTATTGTGATGGCTTCATGTGGTGATGGTTTCTGGCATTAGATTCTTAGAATATGCTAAAATATTAGACTGCATACTTTAAGTGGGTGAATCTTATGATACATGAATTGTATCTCAAACAGCTATTTATAAAAAGTTAAGATAACATATTACAGATTTTCAAATACATAACATTAACAATATATCCACAATTTTTAATCTGTAGAAAGTTATTCTCTTTAAGATTAGGAGTACTATAGGAATCATATTCCAAGGAGGATCATACCACAATGAAGTTCTCATGAGAGCTAATGAGAATGTTTGAGAAGTAGTTCACTGGAAGACATTTGTGATGAACTTTCAGATTCACAGAAACACTTAAAATTGTTTTTTGGTTTTTTTTTTTCTTGCTTTCATTTCCGAGAATGGCTTGTGGTTACTGAAACCCATTCCTGACACTGATAATGATAGTGTTCAGAAAAGAAAACTAAACAGATTTCATAGGCACCTGTTTGCCAGAATATTTAACATGAGAGTCGCCTACTTGTTTCTTCAAAGCTGAAGAAGGTTGTATTAGTTAGTGCTCACTAGAGAAACAGATTTAACATAAAATATATAAATACATAAGGATCTAGGAGGCAGGCTCACATTGGCTACCCGCAGATTCATGCATGGAAGAGTGCAAAAATCCTCTTTGCATGCTGGAGATCCAAAGGATGCAGTCAAAGGTCAAAGGCCTGGAGCTCACTGTAGTGTCCCATGCAAGTCCACATCAGGAGGCTAAAGGGTCTGCCCTGTAAGCCAGGAGACAACTTCAAAGTAGAGGTGAAGACTGGATCAAATGTCACTATTTCTACAATCATTGTGCAGATGGTTTTACCCAAATCTTCCTTGGAACTGAATTCTAATGAAAATTTAACAGACTGTCCTCCCCACCCTCACATCTCTTAAAGTGGCTTGCATTTTCCTGGTTACCCTCTACAGTGTCCAAACCAGGGCTGAAGTGGCTATGGCAGTTTGGTTCCTTCAGGTATCAAGGTAGTGACTAGAATTTGTGTCAGAGCAATGCTGCCTTGGGAAATCTGGAGGTGGAGAAAAATGTTCCATGTAGTTGCAGTATGGGTATTTGTAGTTTAACTAGTGGTTTTTTTTGTTTGTTTGTTTGTTTGTTTTTTTGTTTTTTTTTGAACCACCATGCACAGTATTCTGTGCTGACCAACTTGGAAGTCACAGAATAAGAACTCTGACTGCACTGATGGGTAAATGAGCACACTATAGCCAGTCTGATGTCTTGGGGGAGGGCAGGCAGAGGAGAGTAAACCAGGCAGCTGGTTCTGTCCAGGTGCACAGCAGGACAGGGATCGAGTATGAGGGAAGTATTACAACTTGACTTAGTTCTAGCCTTCGTTGTGATTTGTCTTATGAAAGAAAAACTAAAAACCTGTCTGGATGTTTCCCGTAAATGAACAGCCATTGGGAGTTTGCTGAGAAACTAGGATTGCTGCAACAGAAGAACAGCTGGTGTTTCATCCCGTTTTCTCAGGGACTGCTCTAGTTCAGCAAAGACAACCAAAGGCTCTGGTTCCTTGTCAGAGTAGAAGAAACAAAGTTACGGCATGGTAACAACCCCGGAGAAACCTGGGCCTTTGCTTCAGAAAACCAGGAGGGTGGGGGTGTCAAGTACACAGGGCAGTGCTCTGTCAGTCACAGCAGATTTGAATAAAATGTGAAAGTGAAACTCTGAGAAGCCCTCTTCCTTTTTTGAAAGTTGCTCTGACCTCAGTCTACCCATCTCTCTGCGTGCGGCAGAGAGGCAGAGGTTTACGGGACCTGTCCGGGCTGCCAGGAGGAGGCAAGCCATGGACAAGTTTAAGGCAGTACTGGACTTGCACCTCAAGCACCGCAGCACGCTGGGCTACGGGGTGGTGACCCTGCTGACGGCTGGCGGGGAGAGGCTCTTCTCGGCTGTGGTCTTCCAGTGCCCCTGCAGCGAAGCCTGGAACCTGCCCTACGGCCTCGTCTTCCTGCTGGTGCCTGCGCTCGCGCTCTTCCTGCTGGGCTACGCGCTGAGCGCCCGCACGTGGCGCCTGCTCACCGGCTGCTGCGCCCGCACCCGGGGCTGCGCCGGGCTGCGGGGTATGGTGGTATGCGTGCAGCTGAGCGCGGCCGCGGCGCTCGCGCCCCTCACCTGGGTGGCCGTGGCGCTGCTCGGCGGCTCCTTCTACGAGTGCGCGGCCAGCGGGAGCACGGCGCTCGGAAGCCGCCTCTGTCGGGGTCGCGACCCGGTGTGTGCACAGCAACTGCCGCGGGTCCCCTGCGGCCAGGCGAAGCCGCCCGAAGTGCAGGACCTGCTGAAGGATCTCAAGGCGCAGTCGCAGGTCGGGCTCGGGGCCGGGTGCGGGGCTGAGGCGGCGCGACGCTTGGAAATCTGAGGCTTTGCTCTAGACCCGTGACGCCCATGGCGGGGGGGCGGGGGGAGGGGGAGTTGGAAGGGCTCCTGTTTCTAATGAGCCTAGCGGGAGGCACGTATTTAAATAAGATGAATGAAAAGAAAGCAGGAGCCGCATAGTGTCTGGCACAGTGGGCCAACGGTAGAGAGGGGCGTCCCTGGGGCGCCCTGCTCTGCCTCCCACTGGAAACTCTGAGAGCCCCAGCGCTCCGGGTCCTGGGAAAGTTGTCCAGCTAGGAGAAATCAGGAGTACTATTACAACTAGGTGAATCTGAGTGGCCACAGCTCTGGACTTATGCAGTACAGCTCAGAGGTTCCCAAAATGTGCATCCCTCTTGCCAGAGTTGTGGAAATGCCAGGTTTTGAGCTGGGGGCATCAGCTCCTCCCTGGCTGGTGACTCAACTGTGATGGATTTTCTACGCTAGCCTCTGTATTGCTGAGAATTGTCCCATACTCTTAAGGAGATAAGACTTGAAAGTGTTGTGTATTTGTTATAACAATAAGCAAAATTGGAGGATCTTTAAAGCTTTTATTTTATAAAGTGATCACATTGCTATTTTGTTGTGTTCTCTTAAGGTGCTGGGCTGGGTCCTGATAGCTGTGGTGATTATTTTCCTTCTGATTTGTACATCTGTCAGCCGATGTCTGTCACCGATTAGTTACCAGCAGCTGAAATTCTGGAAAATCTACTTGGAAAAGGAGCAAGAGCTTCTTAAAAATCAAGCCATGGAGCACGCAACTGAATTGGCAAAAGAGAATATTAAATGTTTCTTCGAGGGCTCTTGTCCAAAGGAATACAACACTCCGAGCGCAAAAGACTGGCGGCAGATTTCATCACTGTACACTTTCAATCCTAGTAACCAGTATTACAGCATTCTGCACAAGTATGTGAATAGAAAAGAGAAGCACAACAGCATCCAATCTGTTGAAGGGGATGCCATGATTCCTGTCCTTGGCTTTGTCGATTCCTCTGGTATCAACAATACTACCGAGATATGACTACACAAACAGGAAAAGAAGTCTTGGGGCTGGGGAGATAGTTCAGTGGAATAAGCGCTTGCCTGGCAAGCACAAGGTACCTCCCCAAAAAAGAAGTCTTAAATAATGCTTCATTTAAAAAAAATGAATAATATGTAGCTTTCTCTCTAAATTATGGGATTTTATATCTGAAAGTGAAATATAAAAATTTTTATTATATTTTTTAACAAACAAAACCAAGAGGAAAATGATGCCTACAAAGTGATAAACTGGACTAGAAATACTTATTGTAGCTTCTTTCTCAAATAACAAATAACAAAACTTTAATCTTTTATAATTCTACTTTCAAATAAAAGACTTTAATATCAAAGCAGTAAAAGAGCAATTGAACTTTAGATCTTTCTTGGAGATGATTTGATGTTAATTTCAGGTTCTCCTTCTAGGCAACTACAGCTCATTATGAACCCTAAAAATGGGTCTGAGAAGATGGCTCAGTAGAATAAGTGCTTGCCTGGCAAGTACAAGGGCCTGAGTTCAATCCCCGGTTCTGCAAAAAAAAAAAAAGTATCCTTTCTAGCCCACTCTGTTCCATAATGGAAAATATATTGGACTGCCGGTCAAGTGTGCTGTAACCATTCAAACATTACATTTCATGGGTCTAATATGGTTACTATACAAACATTAATCATGAAAAGGAAGAAACTTTTTTAAAATATAAAAATTGAGTAGCTTAGGAAAGGCATAAATAATAACATTTGATTTTAGTTTGTAAGACTGAATGCTTGGTAAATTTAAAATAATCTGAAATGATGGTTTTAAGGACCCTCACTCATTCAATCTGTTCACAGCTTCTATAGAGTATAGAAGTCAGATAAAACCTATCCTGTACAAATAATTGTAAATGTAAACATTATGTACTAATGTAGCTTAATAAAAATGTTTTAAAATAAAGCTGCAAATTATGATCTGATTGGGATTAAACAAGGGGAAGGGATTGGGGAAATCAGCGAAAAGCTAAAATCTTTGGAGCAGGAAGCAGAACAAAGACTCTGAAGTGAGAATAATCTTAGCCAGACAGGCCATTAGAGACCACTGGATAGAAGAAAATAAGATAGCTAATACAGTCCTTGAGACCATGTGAGGAGCTTTGTTTTCATCCTATAGATTTAGGGGAAAATAGTATCATACTATATAATACTATCATTTTTTATTATATTATCTTTTTTTTAAAGAAAAAATGGAATGGCAGGAAATAGCTAAAGTGGGACTCATGAGATTAAGCAGGAGGCCACCTTAGTGGGGACAGGTGGGAGCAAACTTGACCTGGGTTGGCAGCGATCACAGTGAGAAAGTGAATTCTGTTTATGCATGACCGGATTTGTAGGCGGACATGCTGTGAGGAACTAGTGAGAGCAGTGCTGCCTGTGGATAGAATGCAGTTGCCTGATAATGCCGGGGCCTGTCGGGAACACTTGGCTTCCTTCAGCTTGTCATTCCTGTTCATTCTTCAGCGTATGGTTGCTTTCTGCACTTTTAAAAATGCACCTAAACTTGAAACTGTAACACAACTGAGCACAAATCTGTTCAGCCTGCTTCCTCTCTTGTCAGACTTTGTGCCTGCTTCTCTTGCCCTTTTTGCATGGGGCCATTAAAAGGAACTCAACCGCAGGGCTGAATATCCTGTTGTTGAGAGTTTAGTAAGAAAAATGGCAGGAAAAAAACAACCCAATCAGTTTTTTTTTCCATTCCCTAAAAGATTCTTTTGAAAAATCACATCCTGTCTACTGTCATTTGTGTTGTTTTAATTTCAACTTCCAATATATTTTCTGTGTATTCTTGGCTTTCAGATCCTTTTTTCTGACCTACTAATAATACACCATCTTCATAATATCATATTCTACCTTTTTGGTTGATTTATGCTCAACCTCTTACACAGTCTTTAGTAATTATTGTGAAAACATAAGCTTAAAATTAAAAATATGAATGGAAAACTATGAAATAAAAAGTAAAATTACCCCATTTCTTTGCAATATGTGCTGCCCAGAGGTCTCTATCTGGAAAAGTATTATCATTCTATAAACTGAGACCAGACTATAAAGGGATGAACCACAAGTGCTTGGCTGAACTAAAGACAAAGGCCTTTAAACAAAGATAAGAGTCAGGAAGTTGGAGCACAGAAGACTGAGGCCTAGTTGGAGCACAAGCAACAAAGAATTGATAAGATCTGCTGATAACAGAAAAAACAGCCATAGTAGCAACTACATATTCTAGTTTCTACATGCTCTTCAAGTTCAAAAGCAGTACCAGGTGACACTGGCCAATGACACCTCCTTTTTCACCTGCCAGAAGTTACAGATAAGCCCCCAGGTTTAATAGCTACCTTGGTACCCTCCCTGGGAGCCCCTCTTGACTGGCAAGATCTTGTCTTTATTCTAATAAATGGCACTGGGTTCATTCCCCACTGCTGCCCTGTCAGTTTCATTCTCCACTGCCTTCAAGGTTAGAGCTCAAAAAGAGAAAAGGGTTACAAAATCTTGCATAATTTTTCTTTCATTCTTTTTTTTTTTTTCAAATCAAATCAGTCGGACAGTTTCAACAATTAACACACTGCATACATTCTTCTTAGTGGTTAATGGCTGTACAAGATGTGGACCTGACATCCTATTTAAAAACACCATTAGAGCAAATCATTTTATTCATTAAGAGAATGTAGGGGCTGGTGAGATGGCTCAGTGGTCTAAAGCACCTACTTAGAACAAACTTAGCAAAGCA